GAAAAAGGCAAGCTTCACATTGTTGCCATGTCGAAACCCATGCCTGATAATAAAGCAATGCCATCAAAACAGCATATTGTTCTCTGCAGTCCCGCATTCAAACTAACTTCATCCTGTTTTGTGGGTTTTGATATTCACACTTGTATCGATACGCATCCAGTTATTTCTTTTAAGAACTACACAGCCAGAGTTCCACATGTGCAAATGGACACTTCCCAGGCACGGCAACATGTTTATCCCCTGGTTGGAAGTGCGGGACGTATAACTTATTTATGGTCTAAGAGGAGGCAAGTGTGTAATCTAATGAAAGCATGTGCTTTATCCCTCTTGATTTCTAATGCTAAAGGCACAGGACCGTGGGGAACTCCCACATAAGTGTCATGGCATACAGCAAAGGCACACAGTCTGTATCTTTGGCACTCATTCACTCCATAACTCTTCCCCCTTTGTAAAGACTCTTTGGAGACTCCTCTACTCAAAATGGGTAATGTGCTTTCCTGCCACAGAGGAAAAATATATATACAAAAATGGTAAACTCCAAAATCGGGTTAAAACAGTAAAAGAGAAAAATCTCCCCGCTCCAAAAAAAAAATAAAAAAAATCCCACCCCAGGAAAAATAACTCTGGAAACCCACCCATGCAATGCAGCCTATTAATACCAAAACATTGCCATTCCCACTTTTTTCACTATTTAAATCAGGGATCTCCAAACTTGGCAACTTTAAGACTTGTGGACTGGCTGAGGAATTCTGGGAGCTGAAGTCCACAAGTCTTAAAGTTGCCAAGTTTGGAGACCCCTGATTTAAATGAAGAAGTTACAATGACTACGATAAAGCTGGGAGAATAGAACCACCAACTTTCCAGACGCATCAGGAGAAAGCTTTTTCATAGTGTTCGTATTAGTGGAATAAATTAGTTGGAATAAATAAATTCCAATCCAGTTAGTTAAAGAGATAAGAACAAAATTATTGGAAAGGTAGAAAAAGTTTGATAGCCAGATCAGTTTTTTCCTTCTTTGTGTCTATTCTCACCAATGCACAATCCTGTGCGTCAGGGAAGTTCTAAGCTTCCGTGCTTGCTTGCCCTTCTTTCCTGCATGTCATCTGTTTCCTTCCTAAAAGCTCTGTGATTTTTGAAATTGGGGAAATGTCTATTGAGCTGGAGCTCACAGTAAAAAAAAAAAAAATCATAATACCTGACTGTATGAACATTTGGAAATTTCCCACATATTGTACACATGACCAGTCACTAGAATTGTTCATTCTCCACATATACTGTGATAGAACTGAGGTAGCTCTGTTACCTTTCTGAGTAAACTCACAAATAACATTAAGCCATGGTTTGTAACCCATGGATTATTGAATGGGGGGGGGGGGTATACTTGAAACATGCTAAGCATAAGCCACAATTCACAAATTATAAATGGTTGGCTTCATAAAATATTTTGTTTGTTAGAAGTATATTTTTTTAAAAAAACATTTTTATTTGAAGAAATGCATTCCTTAACCTGAGAGTGAGCCAGAGAAAGGCACGCTAAACAAATGATCCTCTTCATAATGGGCTTCACCTTTAGAGTGGTTTGGTAATGGGAGAGGCAGCCCTTCAGATAGGCAGGACTCAGTCCTTTGGGAGAAAACAATATGAAGTAAATTACACTACAGCATAGTGCAATGGAAGAATCCAATAACTTATCTGCTTGGGTCACTTTATGCATATCACGCCCACTTTTCAATACACAAGCTTCTGTCATTCCACCCTTTATAGATTATGTTTGAACCCTGCCCATACATTTTTAACAATATGAAGTCCTAATAGTGCTGTGATTTCTGGACCTAGTGCTCCCTTCAGACTAGGTTTCTCTCATCTGAAGCCTTTCAAGGGGTGTTGAGTTTCATTTCATTTCAGGGGTGTTGAATTGATTCCCATAATCCTCAGCCATATAGCCCACACATTTCAACTTGATTCATATTTTGCAGTGTTGACATTTTTAAAAATATGGTTTATTTAATAAGCATCATTAGTTGGGCTCACACAGTGTACTACACTAAATTATGGTTTAGTTCAAGGATGCAGTCCCTGAACTTTTTTGCTTGGCTCTTGCAACTTCCTTTGACTGTGAATTTTGAAAATCCAAACTGTGGTTTTTCTACCATCTTTCACCACAGCTGTTGTGCGACCTTTCCACAAACCTTTAAAACTAAAGAAAGACTTGAAAATTTGATCAAAAGCCCGGGGTGGGGGTGGGGGATGAAAACTTGGTCCTACCCAATTTGAACAATTGCTCTATACATTCTTGATTCTCAGAAGGCAATTCCTTTCTGGCTTAGAATTGTGTGTGAATTAGGAACAATTTATGAATGGGATCCCATAAACTCCTTCCTCCCCTAGTAGTTTCATGTCAACTTTCCCCCATGACCTTTTTATGCATAAAATACAAGATTGCTTGGGACTGGGCACAACAGTTTATCCATGGGCATGCTAAATCTATCATGGGACTCATCGGTCTAACTAATGACATTTACCAATGAGATTTAGACCTAAATTGATCAGTAATGTATAGTTACTGACCAGGATTTAGGTTACAGTTGTATATGAAATATTTTCAGAAGTCTACCAATCTTCACTCTCAAAATATTTTGGCTACAACTGCTATTTTTTTCAGAGCTGCTGACCATGAGGCAATTCTAGCCCAACACACCCAGAAATCTAGAGAAGGCTGGTCTAGGACAAGGTGGGGTTGTGCCAGATTACTCATGTGCATGTACTTAATAATTCCTGCCTCATGTCAGGACAGTATTTCTTCATATACTACCATCAGTTTATGGTATATCAAACAGATATCTTTGTTGTTTTGTTGTTAGTTGCGAAGTCCAGTTCTCACTGCTGCTTCTTGTTGCAGATATTTTACATATCACTGTTGCTCACTGTTGCAGATATCTTACATATCATTAACTGTAGATGGTAGAGTTTGAATCTCAGATTTATCTCATCCAAAACAAGATATTCTACTAGTGAATTAGTGAATTTAGCTCCTTTTCCCTATCCCTCTCCTTGGAGGTACATAACTGATATCGAGTCTTCTATGAAATTCATCCAAGTTCAAAGTGAAACAGGAAAGGGCTAGAGGAAGAGCTGATTGAAAATAATATCTGAAAGCAAGCTAGGGAACAGAGGAGGTCAGCAGGTCGGCAGGCAGATGACATCAGGAGGAAGTAAAGCAGAAAATAAGGCCAGGATGATAAAGAGCAAAATCTCATATGAAGACTTTTATAGAAAATAGGAGTGAGCAACTAAGAGAGGAACAATGGTTTGTGGGAAAAGACAGATGAAATGTATTTATCTTTTATTTATTTGACTTAGATACTGAATGGTATTTACTAGCCTACTAAATCAGGGGTCTCCAACCTTGGCCATTTTAAGACTTGTGAACTTCAACTCCCAGAATTCCTCAGCCAGTAAAACTCTGGGAGTTGAAGTCCACAAGTCGTAAAGTGACCAAGGTTGGAGACCCCTGTACTAAATCCCTCCATGCTGGTGTGGATCACATAGACTTGAGATGTAACAAAGATACTTTACAACTGTAAGACTATAGACCCAGTATGATAATGTCATCCTTTAGCTATCAGGAATGTATGCTGAAATAAATTGTATGATTGGACTTGAGAGTGCCTCAAGAGCACTCTGGCTGGCAAGTGGTGCTGTCCTTATAGTTTTAATGCAAGACAATTAAAGGCAGCAATTGGTGAATTCCTCTGGCTGCATTTCCCTTCCTTTTTAGCCTCACCTGTCATTAGGAAAAACCACTGCCCATTGCTGTTCTTAAAGATGGCTTGAATTTGAGTAACAGGCAAGTGCCTGGGATGGAGGCTTTAACTGTTTTTCAAGTTGCTAAATGACTGGCTGTCAGTACAGAGAATTTCTGGATGGTTAACCTGCCCTCAGGCCACAGTATTTCTCAACACAAAACTCTTATTCTTCTGAGCATTTAAACCCATGTACCAAAATAGTCTAATAGGTTATTTGAAGAGTCTGAATATTAAGATTGTTGGGGGTAAGAGGAAGGAATATAAAGATGGTTTATTTGACCAAAATTAAATTATACAGGTATTTTGGAAATTTTTAATGAATTTTTTTTTACCAGGACTGGGTGATGATGATATTTTTAAGATTTTGTTTATTTGCTATATTTCAAATTTATCTGATTGTTATCTCTGATCATTTTTCTTGGTTTTTTTACTGACTCTATTTGGATGATGAAATTTGTGGGATTTGTTTAATGATAAAAAGTGAGATATAAATGTAAAACAAAGGAATAAAATGGGCTCATTATATCAAATTTATAATACATAGGTTGTTATTTTGGGTAACTGAATGGATTTTTTCCTGATTAGAATGGCAGATGAGGTTTTAAAAACTTGTTTGTAGAAAATGGGATGATATCATTTATCTATCTATCTATCTATCTATCTATCTATCTATCTATCTATCTATCTAAGTTATTGACCACTCATCTTATCCCAGTTTGACTCTGGGGGACTTACAATATTAAAAATAGAACTATATAAATAGAATGCTACAAAACAGTAATAATATAAAATATGACAGCTAAAAAATGGGGAGAGGGGAATTGATGTGAGATGAAGAGGTTGTTTATTTGTATTTTAAGAGATGGTAATAAATTGTTACAGATGATTATACTTTCTGGGATTATAATGGGAGTTATTTCTTTTCTTTTAATTTTTTTTCTTTCTTTTTTGCACTTCTTTCTTTTTTGTATTATCCATATATTGTAATCTTTAATAAAATTATTATAAAAAAATAAAAATAGTGAGGCATTGTTGCGCTATGATTAGTGAGATGTGGAAATACATTTTGTGTTCCACAAAGGAGTAGCTGACACAAGTCTTTGCATGATTTCTGGAACGAGCTGATGTTCTTGCGTTTGTGCAACCTGTTACCTGCCTTTTTCAATTTGTAACATGTTGGCATTGCTGTCCTAATCTGGATTTTGTATCTCTTTATTGCAGATTCCAAAGATGGAGACAGGCTCCCTGGTGCGGGCTGTCTTTGATTTCTGCCCCAGCGTATCTGAGGAACTGCCACTGTTTGTGGGGGATATCACTGAAGTGCTGGCAGTCATAGATGAGTTTTGGCTGTTTGGGAAGAAGGAAGGAGTCACAGGTACATCTAAAAGGTCTTTGGGTCAGTTCATGAAGTTGGTTGCGTCAGAACCCAAAGGTGCTTTTCAAAAGCAACTGAGCTTCCTTTGTTTTTTCTTGACAGTGTTTCACTTCTCATCCAAGAAGCATACTCGGTTCTGACTGAATGGTGGGGAATGAAAGGATTTATGTTCTTTGCAGTCAAAGGATATAAATCCTTTCATTTCCCATCATTCAATCAGAACCGAAGAAGTTCTTGGATGAGAATGAAATATTTTCAACAATAATAACAACCAAAGTCCAGTTACCTTTTGACCTGGATGACTGAGAATCTCCATAGACGGTTCGGCTAGAAGTGCTAGAGGAGCTGAACAAGTAAAGCTAAGGAAATTTCATCCTAAATAAAGATTTTAAAACTCTTAAGCCTTTCTTTACTATTATTTAGCAGTTGAAAGATCAATAACTCTGATGAAAAATTAGAAAAAGATGTGATTGGATGCATATAAGCACCACCCTAATGCCCTTTCTGCCTGGTGGTTAGTGGTAACTTTTCCTGTGGTTTTGGAACTGGAACTAAACTTCCAGTCAAGGAAAGCATCATTTTCTGCCTTTAAAAGTGTCACGTGGTAGACCTCTGCAACCAGCAATGCAGCACAGCCCCATTCTGGTGTGCCTGAAAGGTATGCTGCACAATTTATGCTGACGTAAAAGTCTTTTTGGTTCCAGGACAAGAGGAAAGCTCAGCAAATGGCTATATGGATGAGACCATAGTCTCTGTGGAGCATTTAGGAGACATTTTTATCCCCTTCCTCCCCCTTTTTTGAAGGGACGTTCTGGTTTCTTTATCTAATACTTTTTGGTATTTCTGTAAATGTTTGGGCTCCCACACACTTCCTGATACCTCTCTGTTGTACTGTTTGGTCTTGCAATTAGAGAAACGAGATAGCTATTAATATATCAGAAGCTTGCTTCCCTTTTTCTTTTTATAATTCTTAGTTTCCTTAACCAGTCAAATGGAATATAATTCTCAATATACTCAGTATATGGTAATAGAATAGAATAACAGAGTTGGAAGGGACTTTGGAGGTCTTCTAGTCCAACCCCCTGCTTAGGCAAGAAACCCTACACCACTTCAGACAAATAGTTATCCAATCTCTTCTTAAAAATTTCCAGTGTTGGAGCATTCACAACCTCTGGAGGCAAGTCATTCTATTGATTAATTGTTCTAACTGTCAGGAAATTTCTCCTAAATTCCCTTCCAACTCTGTTAATCTGTATCTGTAAATTGCTTCTCTCCTTGATTAGTTGCCACCCATTGCCTTGTCCTACCCTCAGGTGCTTTGGAGAATAGCTTGACCCCCTCTTCTTTGTGGCAGCCTCTGAGATATTGGAACACTGCTATCATGTCTCCCCTAGTCCTTCTTTTCATCAGACTAGACATACCCAGTTCCAGCAACCATTCTTCATATGTTTTAGCCTCCAGTCCCCTAATCATCTTTGTCGCTCTACTCTGCACTCTTTCTAGAGTCTCAACATCTTATGGGATCAGTGTAGCCACAATACCCTGAACAATTTGGGATAGTTTTTAGGGCAGTGCCTGTTTTGAAAATTAGCAATATGATCCAAGACTTCTGACCTCATAAAAGTACAGTGTCTCTCTATCTTTCATTGAAACTGCCCTTTTTTCTCTGTGCAAATCTGAAAGAAAATTATAATACTCTTGGTCAGATTTATCTTATGGGATCATTAAAGGGCATGGCCACTTATAAAGGTGAGGTATGAGTTCCATCAGAATTTAAAAATATATACATATATTTCTAATAAAAGAGAATATATGTAGCTCAGGATTGAAATGAGGGGTCCTTGATGCTCTCTGAGCTTGCTTGTTTTCTTGCAGACTAGGTAATATTACCTAACTAGGTAATATCATCAGTGCATATATATTTCTGTTAGACTTTTCAGTAACCTTCCTCACTCAACCTGTTGCCTTTCAAATATATTGTTGCTATCAGTTATAGTAACTGAGAAGTCAGGAGGTTGAGGAAGGCTGCCTGAAGCAGTGCTCAGACATGAATCTTCATTTGTACTGATCAATGAGAATATTTGTAGCTTAGAGTTGAAACTTGAATGTGCACACATTGTGAGCAGTGTCAGGAAACAAGCAATAGTGCAATCTAGTAAAGTAATGATAAATGAGAATATTTGTAGCTTAGGGCTGAAATGAGGGGTCCTTGGTGCTCTCTGAGCTTGCTTGTTTTCTTGCAAAGATTTCATTACCCAAACTAGGTAACTTCAGTAGTGCTAGTGAAGTTACCTAGTTTGGGTAATGCAAGAAAACAACCAAGCTCAGAGAGTACCAAAGCCTCCTCATCTTCATTTGTAGTATATTCTGATGGGATATAGTAAAATATTTGACTTGCCCATTTTAGCTTCTTTTTTAACCTATTATTTATTTATTTATTTATTTATTTATTGGTTAGATTTATATGCTGCCCTTCTCCGGAGACTCAGGGCAGCTTACAATGCGTTAAGCAATAGCCTTCATACTTTTGTATGTACCTACTTAGTAGGGCTTTCGCCCCCCCCACCCTCCAAGCGGTGTTCTTTTTTATACAAAGTCAGCTTATTGCCCCCACAATCCGGGTCCTCATTTTACCTACCTCGAAAGGATGGAAGGCTGAATCAACCTTGAGCCTGGTGAGATTTAAACTTGCAGTAATTGCAGGCAGCTGGTGTTATTTAACAGCACTTTAGTCTGCTGCGCCACCAAGGCTCTTTCCTACCCTGCTGTTAACTCCATGAAATAGTGAAACACAGATTCAGGAACAGTACTCATTAATGCATGCATACATTTTTACCTATATAAGAATTTTACCTATATAAGAATTTTACCTATATAAGAATTCTGAAATGTCAGCATCCTTTTTTGAGTTCTTTTTCTTTTAATGTCAGTATTCCTGTTAGGCCCCAAGAATCAAGAAAGACAAGGATTTAGGGTACTTCTGAATAGTTTCCTTTATTGCTCTTCACCTATAGACACAATCTTCCCAGGATGTACATTGTGATGCAAGCTTATTGTATTTGCATCATGATGTTACAAGAAAAGAAGTTAGTAACAGAGTTGTCCTTGTGACACCACAAGACATATTTTATTAATTTGATGAAATCCCAGCTTGCTGCAGATGGCTCTGGCTTATTGCTTTCAAAAGATGGAAGAATCAAATTATGGAAATTAGTCTTTAAATATGGAGATGATTCTAAAATGGTAATGTTGTATTGTTTTGATTTTTGATGTATAACAATTGTTTTATTATAAAATTTAAATTATAAAAATTATTTACAAAAAGATGGGTGTACAGGTATTTATGTTATAAAACAGGAATTCACAATAATTGTTGTTGTTCAGGAACTTAATACTAGAAAAGCAGGACAGAGCAAAAATTTGTGGAACTTTCTGCCAACAATGATTATTCCCTCTGTGTGTGTGTGTGTGTCCATGTGCATATGTCTGAAAGAGAGAAAGAGAACAGATGAAAAAAAGTTAAACAAGTGCTGATTACTAAATAAAAATGGTAACATATGCATATCACGTTAATTTGCTGTAATAAACTGTGCCCATAAGAAGGCCATTTTGAAAAAGCTTTCTGATCTCAAGTAGTTGTAGAGCAGCTATCTTTTGAGAACATAAGAAAGAAAACTTGAAACAACCAGGAGAGGGAGCCATTCCCAACTCTCTGCATTCATCCATTGCACAATCTTGTGGCTCATCACAGAACCAAAAATTATTTAAGCTATACCTTAACTTCTCCACTAAGAGAAGGGATAGGGAGAGTTAACCGTCAACTGAACCACTTGATTTAATACATATATTCCAGGACCTGTTTTTAAATGTATTAGAACTAATACAATCATTAGAGATATTGGTAAGTACAGCATTATAGTTGATGTCCTGGTGGTCTAAACAGAAAATATCAGTGCTTCTTCATGGACAAAAGCTCTAGATACACTTATTAGCTAGATGAATAATGACAATCACATTTCCAGTAAAAAGAACAACCTGATATGAATGGAGGGAAGAGATTGTCCCATACAAAGGAAAAGCAACATACCTCTCGGGTGAGAACCATTAATTTGATCCTAGAAGAAAGTGCTTGGAATTTTCTGTAAGGGTATTAGGAATCAAATCCTTTGTTTAGTTATATTTCAATCCTTTCATGGCTCATTTTGGTCATCTTGTTTTATGCCAGACTGGATCTGGCATGAATTTGACTCCCATTTTGTTGAAAGGTGTTGGCAAATAGTTCCATCATGAAGGATGGATTAAATCTTAGCAAAATAAAATCCATACTAAACATTTCTGAATTGTCATCCAGCTATAAATGTTTGCTATTCTAAAAAAAAAAAAAAAAAAGAGGTTTAATGTAGAAACTCGCTTGATGTTTCTGTGGAATTTTCTATTTCAATTAAGAAATTTTAATTTTCCTTAAGGGTACAATTGTGATAGTAGACAATACTAAGTAAGGTGGACCAATGACCTGGTAAATCATAGCACATTTTCCTTACATTTTCATATTGTTGGTGTTACCAATGGAAGTTATCAAAGTTTGTCAATTCTCATGTAGCAAAACTCAATTCACGTTTGCGGTTTCCAACAATGTACACTGCAGAATTTCTTTATCTTAGCAAGTGTACAGTATATTAAATGAGGAAAGCAGTATATTAAATGAGGAAAGCAGTGTACAAATCCCTCAATTTTACGGAATTGACAACAGAATAGTTAGCACTGAAGACAGTTTATTACACTGCTCACTTCCCACCATATTTTCAGTGTGAAAGGCTGGGAGAATCCTGATGAAAAGGATGGCAGCAGGAGAAAACTTTGAGGTGCTTTTATGCCATGGTGAAGAATGAAATAGATAGATGTCGGGGGACAGAACCATGACTATCATTTCCACTATTTAGATTTTTTTTTTCCCTGTTCTATTGAAAATGCTCTTTGCTCTTATCCATTTTAGGCCAGTTCCCCAGCAGCTTTGTAGAACCTGTGGATGTTCCTGTTATGAAGCAAGGAGAGAAGCTGTTTGTTTGTATCAGCAACTTCACTTCCCAAGAGCCTGGCAGCTTGGCCCTACAGAGAGGTACTGGCGATTTCCATTCATTCCTTACTTGGGCAGGATTTCCTTAATACTCTGCTCTTCTCTAGATCTCTGTCAGTCCATCAAAAGGAATTCTTTTCGGCGTCCTTTCTCCCTTACAATTCTAATCATAGTGGTCCAGGGCTTTCTGCTTCTGTACCTTAGTAGTCTTGCTATATTGGAACAGAAGTCTGATAATCTCTACAGTCACTAGGATAATTGCTATTTTCCAGCACATTTGGTCTAGTGGTTAAGGCAGTAAGCTAGAAATTAGGAGACTTCGAGTTCTAGTCCTGCCTTAGGCATGAAAGCCGGCTGGGTGACTTTGGGCCTGTCACTCTCTCTTAGTCCAATCCACCTCACAGAGTTATTGTTGTGGAGAAACAGGAGGAGATGGGAGTATTGGATTTGTTTGCCACCTTGAGTTATTCATAAAAATAATAAAGGCGGAATAAATATAAATAAATAAATATAGTTGTTTGTCAGATGCAATTGAGAGCAATCTTTGTGACTGGCTGCTTTGAATTGAAATCATAAGTTGGACTACAGATAGTTCTCAATTTAGAACCATTCATTTAGTGACAATTCAAAGTTACAGCAGCACTAAAAAAAAGTGACTTGCAACCAGTCCTCACACTTACAACTGTTGCAGCATCCCTATGGACATGTGATCAGAGTTTGGTCTCTTGGCAACCAGCATGTAGTTATGATGACTGCACCATCCCAGGGTCATAGGATCACCATTTGCAACCTTTCCAAGTGGCTTCCAACAGTAAAATCCTTGGGGAAAGCCAGATTTGCTTAACTGCAGTGATTTGCTAAACAATCATGGCAAAAAAGGTCAACATCCACTCACTTAACAACAACAGTTTTCAGTACCATCAACCATGGTATCCTTTTGGGTCAGCCTCAGGAGCTGGGAGTGGTGGACAGTTTACCTCCTTCCTCCAGGGCTTGTCCCAATTGGTGTTGAATGTTGATAGGAAGCCAGAGGAAGAGGCTGGAGCCCCTGCTTTGTAGAATGCGGCAGGGCTCAGTCTGGGGGAGATCATTTGTCACCGACGTATCATCAGTCTGTGGATGATTCCCAGGTGATATAAACAATGTTATGGATACCCTTTCATGGTGCTTGGAGACTCTGGGGGTCTGGATGGAGAACAACAGGTTTCAACTGAAGACTGGTAAGACTGGATGTAGGAAGGAGGCTTCCCTGTATCTGAGGGTTATCATTTTCAGTCTTGGATGTGGTTTGCCCTTCCCCCGATAGACTCAGAGCTAATATGCAGATCCTCTCGGATTCATGATCCCTGCTTGAGGGTAAGGTGGCAGTCCTGGCGAAGAGGTTTTTGCTCAACTTCCTGTTTTGCATTAGTTATGCCCTTTCCTGGATCAGAAAGCCTTTCTTTCTGTCATTCATGCCCTGGTCATCTCACATACAGACTACTGCAATGCACTATATAAGGGGCTATCCTTGAAGAGTATCTGGGAATGTAGAACAAGCAGTTTTGGGTGCCTCTATGGTAACACCTTGGCTATGTGAAATGCATTGGGTGTCAGTTTACTTCTGGGTCCAAATCAAGATGTTGACTGGTTGGTGTAGAAATTTGATAAATAAAATAAAATAAAAATGTGTTCCTTATCCCTGCAGGAGACCTGGTGATTTTGAATGATTCTATAGCATCTCCTTGGCTGAAAGGCCGGAGCAGCTGGGGAACCAGTGGTTTCTTCCCATCATCCTGTGTTCGAGAACTCAGCCTCTCAGGTTTTGGTCCCCGATTCCTACATGGCGCAACACTGGAAATGCCATCCTATGCTCTAGGTCAGGCCCGAGCACTGATGAGTCTTTCAGCCCAGATGGAGGAGGAACTTGATTTCCGGGAAGGGGATGCGATTATCATTGTTGGAATTCCAGAACCTGGATGGTTTGAAGGGGAGATTCAAGGTCGCCGAGGCATCTTCCCAGAGGGATTTGTGGAGCTTTTGGGTCCCCTAAAAACCAACAATAACCCAAATGATCCAACTTCATCAGAGATTCCAAAGATAAATGGAATGAAAGATACATATCCCCAGGAAGAGGAGAAGCCGTGGAGTGATGAAGTGGCATTGCCAGGACCTTATGGGATTGCCCTCTATCAGTTCCAAGCCCTGGAATCAGCAGAACTAGACTTTGAAGTGGGGGAACGGATCCGAATTCTGGAAGTTCTGGAAGATGGCTGGCTAGAGGGCGAACTTCGAGGAAAACGTGGCATCTTTCCTCACCGGTTTGTGAAGTTGGAGGAGAACTGCCTACAGCCTAGAAAGCAATGGAAATCTGGATATTTGCCAAAGCGGGTGGATTCTGTTATAGCCAGTCTTCACAAAGCAGGTTCCCCTGGCATGTCAGAGGAGCCTGGATGGAGTTCAGATTATACTGAGGAAAAGACTTGTCAACTTCCTTTGATGCAAAGGAATTATTTGGACTCTGAAGTAAAACAGAACCAAATACCAAATCACCAGAAGGAAAGCTGCCTTGGCTCTGTTCCTTTAGAAGTGTCAGGCACTTCCCCCCTAGATTCTAATAAAACTGTCAATGGAGTTTCTTCCATACCTCATTCTCCACTTCAGGTAAAAACCCAACACTATGACCATTCGGATAAACCAGAGTCCATTCAAACCCCCAAAACTTCATGGGACCGTTTGAAAGGCTGCAAGCACTTAGAGCAGGATGGAGAGGCTCATAGTCTGATCCACCACAACATTCTTTGTGAGGACTTAGTTGTTTGCATGGATGGTCAGCAACAGAAACCTCAATCTCATTCTTCCAGCTTCCGTGGAACTCAGGAGAGCTTGGACATTTGGCCTGTCTGTCAAGGTACTCAGAATGAACT